CACCAAAACTACCAAAGAAAACAGAGAAGCGAACTCACCAATATCAGCTTTCTTGAGGGCAGGGGAATCGTTGACACCGTCACCGGTGACAGCCACAATCTGGCCCTGTCTCTGGCAACCTTCCACAATGATGAGCTTCTGCTGGGGCGAGGTTCTGGCAAACACAATCTCCGCATGGTTGATCAGGATCTCGTCAATCTGGGCCGGGGTCATGTCACGGAGGTCACCACCGTGGATGACGGCAGCCTTAGCTTCTCTGTGAGTAATAGGAGCATGACAAGAGATGAAACAACGGATGCTTTTGGGGACTCTTTCTCAATGAAATACAGTAGAATCCGCTATAGCTACCACCTAAGACAATCACCTGTACAGACGATCAGATCCCACATTCCCCTTGCATGTTCTAACTATATTGTAATGACACTGTCCAAGAGGACCAGCCACCTAGGTCGACAATGGGTGTTCATCTTGGACAGGCTCCACTCTATTGAGAGAACAGGTTCTTGAAAGATTCCAAGTTCCTTGTAAACCATGATACGAGTGGGTTTTACTCTCACAATGAAATATTTAGAAAATAAGTGACAGGATTCCACTTTTCTTTTACATGTGGGTACATGTTGGTTCTACTCAATCTAGACACAATTGGTTACAGATGACACAAACACAGAAAGCTCCAATTCCTAAATAGCACATTCAATTTTCCATTTCCCTACAGATATCTTTTTGATCATGTATAGAGGTTAATCCACACCAAGGACAAGTCAAACTCATTTATAAATCCCTGACATGTTTGAATTATCGGTGCCCAACTATATATATGCACACTGTGAAGAATGCATGTTCTCTTCTTGACTATAGCAAAGTTAGCCCATCATCAAAACACTAACATACCTGGGGTCAACTTCTTCCACAGGCACACTCCTTTCAGCGGCCAGGTCCTCCACAGTCTTGCTGCCCTCGGAGATGATACCCACACCCTTAGCGATAGCCTTGGCAGTGATGGGATGGTCACCAGTAACCATGATAACCTGGAAAGGTCAGAGATGAGGTCATGATCAGAAATAAAATTTTGAAAATCCCATCTGCTGTTTCAAAATGTATACATCTACATGATGGTAAATAACATTTCAAAGGCTGAGCATTTGCCTCTACTCCACCCCCTAATCACGAAACCATGCTGAGCGTTAATACGTAGCTCTGAGAATCCTTATTTTACTCTATAGTCAACAGACCTGGTAACAAAACAAATAAAAACCTCAAATTCTAAGACCTTTATAATCGACAAAACCGTTTTCTAAGAAATGATACATGAACAAAACAACAAATTAATTGTCAGCTGGTCAAAACCCTGAGGATATTGATTCAATGCTTAGTAATCTTTTTTTACTAAATTAAAAAGACAGACAGAGAGAGAAGAATAGAGAGAGAGAGTCTTTGTGTGTGTTTAAGGGTGAATTTGCAGAGAGGAGACGTACCTTGATACCAGCACTTCTGCATTTTCCGACGGCATCAGGCACAGCAGCTCTGGGCGGGTCAATCATAGACATAAGTCCAACAAAGCGCAGACCAGTGATGGGGAAGTTGGGACCTTCAGCGTCAAATTCAAAGTTGGGGGGGAACTCATCAATGGGCAGGTTGTAGTCACAGAATCCTACAGGAGAGATACAAAGGGGGGAACGTCTTGCATGAAAAATACAGCCAGGTTATAATATACCAGCTTGCTACCTTAGAATAGCAAAGTTCTATCTGCTCAATATGCAGTTTTGAGAAATCTGATGAAAAAAATATTTAGTTTTACATGTCAAGCTCTTACAATGCAATTCTTTGACTTTGAGTATCTTGGCAAAGACTGAATAATCTTACAATTCTTATAGAGAAAACAGAACATTTGGTTTCTGACCTCATGGTAATAGTAATTGAAAATGGCATAATATGTGAGATAGAACTTTGCAATTCTAACTACCAATAGAAAACATATTTTCTTTCTCAGTTTTAAACAACCACCAATGCAAAGCAAAACACACCCCCCTCCCCAACAAAAACAAAAAAAGTCCCCAACAAAATGGTGGAAGGCAGTACACTCACCAAGCACACGCTCTCCAAGGCCTCCCAGCTCGAGGTAAGCAGCGTTGAAAGCCTCCCTGAAGTTGTCGTCCAGGGGTTGGTCCTTGCCATGCATGAGTATGGTGGAGCAGCGGTCCATGATACGTTCGGGGGCGCCCTTCATCACCAGCAGGTAGCTGGGGTCGTTGGGGTCCTCTGTCTCGTGGATGGACACCTGTCACAGAGTGACACAGGCATGAAATATTGGGATGGATTTATTTTTAAAAGGAGCCGTTTTATTATTGTTTTAGTAAGAGTTTTACAACACTCGAAACACAACAAAAAAAAGGACGAAAAATGTTTGAAAGGAAAGAAGAAGCAAACTAAACCAGAGCACCCAACAATCACCAACTCATTGCTTTAGCAAGGTGTCACAAAAGAGTAATAAACACAAAAAATGTAGGAGAGATAAGGACAACAGATGTTTGACAGGAAAGAAGGGGTAAACCACACAAGGGCACCTACAAACATCCGTCCGGTAACTTTGAGAGGAAACATCTCTTCTTTTTTTTTTTTTACATAGAAGATGGAGACCACATCAAGAAGCTCATTAAAACAACAGACTCCACAAAAGCCCACCTGGTACTTGTTGGTGGAGTTGAATGGGATCTCCACGATCTTCTTGTTGCGTCGTCGGAATTCAGTCACTTTGCCGATGTTCAACTCCACACACTTGAGCAGGGCCGACTCTGAGGCGTCTCCATTGCACTCTCTGAGAAAGATAAGACAGTCATCATTGAATCGTTGCCAAGAACGTTCACAGAAACACAACCATTTTTCACTAGAAAACGGTTAAGACAGTAAAAACCTAAATTAAGTCGTTACATATTTTTTAGTTTCAGTAAGTGTTTTACAGCACTTGCAACACAAAATGGCCTTATAAGTGTCGAAGATTAGAAGTGTTACAAAAGAGTGACAAACACGAAAAAAAGGAAAGATAAGGACGATAGATGTATGATAGGAAAGAAGAAGCAAATAACACTAGAGCACCCGCCAACCACCCATGCAGACAAATATGTCAGTTTGGGTTAAGAGAAGAGCATCAACAGAATATCAGTCCTTTAGAGCTGCGAAAAAGCAAAACCAGCAAAATAATTTTTAAAAAGGATCATAATGAATTAAGACCTCTGACCACCCATCTAGAAACTGACTAGGGAAATAAAAATGCATCTTTAAGTCAATGACCAGCACATCAATGCGACACCTTCCGTCTTGCGACAAACCAGACAGAAATAATAGAGGGACAATATATCGATGTAACATAAAATCTTGACTTTGTCATTAAAATGAAGCTGTCACATCCAATAAAAAAATATTTGGCAATTCATTTATTTGTCTGTTATACCAAAAGGGAGATTTTACATGCCAAAGTACAAAGACTAAGTCTTTGGGTCTCATTTTTCTTTTTAAAAAAAACCCACCAACAACAACAACACAAACAGCTCCAAGCAAAGCAAAACTGGTGCCCCCACATGAAAATGTGACTTGTTAATTCTGAATGTAGAATCTGAAATATTCATCATCAAATGCCTCATTTCACCAAGTCTAATAAGAATATTCCGGCACAAACTTAAAGAGCTCAGACAATACCTCTTGAGCACAGGTACGTTCTCCTGGTTAGCCTTGAACTCAGCGCGGTTACACAGCATACCAATACGAGCCAGGCTCATCCAGGTGGGGTCTTTGCTGGAGTAGGAAGCAGCTGCAAGGAAACAAAACAATATAGTCAGGGTTAACACCGGTGTGGTGTTCTTACACAAAGTCAATTTGAAAAACCTTGTTCCCAATCCATAAAGTACATGTGGTCCGGAGAAACCGCCAGGCCTACAAAATTTACAGCTTAAGTTCTCATGGTAATGATGTTCGCCGAATTCATTGGGGGATTCATTCCGAGGCTACATCGATGGAAGAAAAAGATTGAGAAACACTGAAAGCTACACCTTTTAAAGGTACCATTGAAAAATCCTCAAATTTAGTACTAGGCACTAAATTTCTGGCAGTCTTGAATACACTAAACCTTTCTCTCAGAAAAAGTAATTTATTTATGGAAAACGTAGAATTGAAAGACATTACAATGAGCAAAGTTGGTTTAATCATGTTACAGATCACAATAATAATACAATCGTAAAACATTGAAAATTAATGAAAATAGCAACCAATTGTGGCTTTTTTTGTAAAGTGTTTTACGGTGCTCACAACTGCATAAGGTCATATGAGCGCGCGGGACACGCCTAATATTTTCAGTTGGTAGGAAATTTTGAATTTTGCCCGGGTGGTGGCCGAAGCTTACTCGATTTTAGACCACCAAGGGATCTTTATCGTGCGCAACTTGCACACGGGCCCTCCGAGATTTTTCGCCCTTGTCCGAGAAGGCTTGGTGTAGATCTTTCCTACCAGAAGATCAGGGGTGTGGCAGAAAGACAGCAGTAAGGAGGAGCCAAGAAGTAACAGTAGAAAGGTGGCAGAAAGAGTCAGGAGCCCAGAGGAGGGGGCAAAGGAGGTGAGGGGGTGGGGGAAGAAAGTGGAAATGAAAGCAGACAACAGAACATTGCTAGAGAGCAGGAAAGGAGGTGAAAGGAGACAATTTTAGAGAAGAAAATTTTCTGGTCGCTACCCGGATTCGAGCCCCGGACCTTTGAATAAGATGCCAACACCTTAACCTCTAGGCCACGAGAGCCCCGAACCCATTGTGGAGGAGAAAAGACGTTTGTCTTACACATGTGAATGTCTTAGATCGTATCATTATAATATATTTTTTAAAACCCAACAAGGAGGAAATGGCAAGTGGTCGTTTATACACAAGTGATAGTCTTGGACAGGTAGCCATTAGAGCAACTTCCACCCTAATTGGCTTCGCCTCAAGGAGAATTTCAGCCAATCCCAAGCCTGTGATACTTACTGGTCTGATCCTCATTGGTCTCAGCCTCCGAGATGCGCCCGTCAAACCACATATGGGCGACGGTCATTCTGTTCTGGGTGAGGGTTCCAGTCTTGTCGGAGCAGATGGTGGAGGTAGAGCCCAGGGTCTCCACAGCCTCCAAGTTCTTCACCAGACAGTTCTTCTTGGCCATACGCTTGGCAGTCAGGGTCAAGCACACCTGAAGACGGGGGAATAGTAAGTACATTTTCTTTTTAGTATGAGTTTTATGGCACTTACACATATAAATAGGTCATATAAGAGCCAAAGATTAGTGTGTCTCTAGGTGTCTTACTAGAGAGTTACAAGTGAAAAAAAAAAAAGAGTAGGGATAAAGACGATAGATGTTTGATAGAACAGAACGAACAGACCAAACAAATGCAATATAATGAAAAAAAAGTTACTTTAAATACTGGACTGGTAACAAAATAACATTATCATAGAGTGAGATCAAAGAGGTTACCAAGATATTTTAAAGAATAGAAGAAAAGCCTGTTCAACCCCAAAGCAATATAAATGAACGGATTAGTGTGCGAGTTGTATAGCAAGTCTAAAATACCCCTCTCCTGCTTTTCCCAATACAGACTCTCTGGGGGGGGAAAAAACCAACATCTCTTAAATTAGTAACTTACAGTGACAGTGGCGAGAAGTCCCTCGGGCACGTTGGCCACAATGATACCGATGAGGAAGATGACAGCGTCCAACCAGAAGTATCCAAGGATGAAGGCAATGATGAAGAAGGTCACACCCAGGAACACAGCCACACCAGTGATGATGTGGATAAAGTGAGCAATCTCCTTGGCGATGGGGGTCTCGTTCACCTCCAGACCAGAAGCCAAGTTGGCAATACGGCCCATCACAGACTGGTCGCCGATCTTCACCACGATACCGCGGGCAGTACCTAGATGCAAAGGAAACACATGTGTTATTACACAATCACTATCATCTTCATCGTTATCAATAAGTGCCTGATCTACGAGAGAGATTGGCGACTATCGCTCTCCATTTTTCCTTTGCTCCAATGCTCTCCAAAAAAAAATACAACAAAACACTAACAATATCCTGATCTTTCTTTGTAATTGCACCATAATTCCATTTAAATCCATTTTTAAGCTAGAACAAGAGACAAAATAGCCTAGAATTTTCTTTCCCTTTAATTTCACACTATCCCATTACTTTTTATAATAAAAGATGAGCTGGCACTATTAAGTCTCTCTGTAAAACCAACCCCATCAATAAGAAAAACAAAATTCACTGCATGCAGCACGAGATATTTCTCTTTAATGTACCTCTCCACTGAATGCAAGTTGGTTCGGGTATATGTAAATTTCAGTAAAGAGAAGCACAAAGACACAAAAACGGTTACGAAGTGAAAAAAGAAATGAGACAGAGACAGAGACAACAGAGGGAAAGAAAAAAAACAAAGTCTTATTAGGGGCGACCCCAACACCCTCGCGCAAGTAGGTGATAAATGTTGAAACAAAAGTAGGTGATAAATATTGAAACAAAAGTAGGTGATAAATGTTGAAAGATAAAGTTGTCCATACCAATGAGACAAGCCACAGACTAGTTATCTAACAGTACAGTGACAGAGAACCTACCTTCAACAGCGTTAGTAGAGAAGAAAGCCAGATTTCTTGTTTCCAAAGGATTTTCGTGGGTGAATTCAGCAGTCCTGCTCTGGGGCTCAGATTCTCCAGTCAGGGAAGAGTTGTCCACCTGCATGGCGCACACACATGAAAAAGTTTAAATATAATAATAATAGAGAGCAATTATTACAGCCCAAATTTCCACTCAATAGCAAGCTTCAGCCTATCGCCATTTTTAAGGAACTTTTATTGATAACTTTCTTCAGCTTTGTTGATGGGGTTTTTTTGTTCGGGTTTTTTTTTTTCAAAAGGAGGGGAAGGCAGATTTACATAAAATGTCTTCTCTGCAGATAGGAAAAAAGACTTTAAAAACCCAATGAAAACCCACACCTTTCCACCTAACATATCTGCATACATCTATGACCGATGTTTTAGAGGAAGCCAGCACTTAACCTCCAGACCAACAACCCAATTCTACCAGTCACAAAACGATCCTCACCTTGAAGCCGTGGGCAGAGATGACCCTCATGTCAGCTGGGACACGGTCACCAAACTTGACCTCAATGATGTCACCAAGGACCAGTTCCTCAGCACGCACGCTCAACTTCTGACTTCCTCTCACCACAATAGCATACTGAAAACAGAAAAGTACAATTTTAAAACCAGAAACATTTAATACGGTGAACTAATGATTTGTTGTCAGAAAGTTGGGGTCTTTTTGTTTCTGTAAAGAGAAGCCAAAGAGAAATACAACCACAAGGTGAAAATTGTATTTAGTGCACGGAAACTAAAAGAAAGACAGCTGGAAAAACAGAGAGAAAGAAAAGAGCTAGAAAAAAGCTATGGCACTTTTAAACCAAATAATAGACACACCTCAGCAAGAACTGATTAAGACAAAATCAACACCAAAAAGAGATGTTGATCGAGCAAAACAACCCACCAGAAAGCTGACCAAGAAAACATTGACTATAAAAAAAACTGTTAAAATAAAGAACAACCTCATGATGAATGATAAGACATTGACACAGAAAGACAGGTTTAACTTTGAGTGAGTTAAAGTTAAAAGAGATTGATCAAAACAGAAAACGAAAAAAAAAAATCGGAAGACAAGGGGAAGACCAATAATAAACAATGGTTTAACCTTACAAAGGAAAGGCTAAGACATAGAAGCAAGCACTATTTTCCTAGACAAAATTAATCGTTACATCAGTAACACTTACCCTCATGGGAAGATAATCGGCAACAATATAATATGTGAGGCGTTGCTTCTCGCAAACCACAAATGGAGGTTTTGGCCATAAATCAACACTAGGGTTAAATTTGTATATAATTAGCCAGGATGATAATTTCAGTGCTGAATGTGTTATCATTTTTATTTCCAATTCACACTTTGATGAACAAGTGCAATCGTAGCTGTACAGTTTTCTCGCTGTCCCAAAAATTTCATAAAAGATAGCTGTGTTTTTTTCTAAGATGCAGGTAAAGAACTATGTTCCCAATCTGGTTTCCAGTTTGAGGGGACAAAAGTTTTGCACTTTGAGCTCTGTGTGAGCGTGTGCGTTTGCAGGTAGGTGTTAAATCAAACCAGACATGCCGCCTGACAACTTGTGATCTCGTAATAGTAATGTCTATGACTTACTTGAGGCACCATGTTCTTGAAAGAGTCCATAATCCGAGAACTTTTTGCTTCCTGGTAGTAGGAAAAGCATCCTGTCACTACCACCACAGCCGTCAACACAATACCCAAGTATAACTGTGGACATAATAAATATAGCAGAGGTTAAAACAAAAAGTGTAAAAAAATTGTGTCAGTATTTTAGAGTTTTACAGCACTTGCAACACAATTAGGTTAGACATAAGCAAGTCAAACAGCTCCAACCTTTAGTCTCTTACACTTTCGATTATAATAAATTTAAAACGTCATGCTCCATTACAAAAACCAACAAGAAAAAAAATGAATGGCAACACAAGTACGTGCACACGATCTGACCTTTTGAGCAGCACCTGACAGATGAATTTATTGTTTTTGTTGTTGCAAAACTTGTCTTCAAACATTTCCAACTTGTCACACAATTTCGCTTCCCAATATATCTGCACTGTCTAGGAGTCATTTTTCCCTTAACAAGCTCCGTTCAATAGTTTTGGATATAGCAAATTCTGGCACAAAGCCTTTCACTTCTATTTGAATTATTTTCAAAGAATTTGTGTACACAGTTATCAGCGATTGAAAAGCCACTAAATTAAAAAAACAAAAATTACGTCATTTTCCTTCTCTCTCTCTCAGTCACTCACCCCCTCACACCCACAACAACAAAACAGGCAATACTCAATAAGGGCATGCCACATCCTGTACTCACGTTGTCACCAGGAGGGTTCTCCTGTTGACTGGCCTGGATGGAATATGCAATGTAACAGAGGATGGCACCAATCCACAGCAGGAGGGAGAAGCCAGTGAACAGCACTTTACAGAACTTGATCCACTCGGGCGTCGTCTTTGGAGGGGTCAGCATGTTTGGACCGTCTCGAGCCAGGATCTCCTTGGCCCTATCTGGGGAGTGACCCTGGGGAGAGCAAAACAATGTTTTGTTGTTTTGGTAAGTGTTTCACGGCAGTTGCAAGAATTAGATTATATATAAGTGACGAAGATGAGTTTTAGTTTCAGTAAAAGTTTTTTGTTTTGTTTTAGTAGGTTTTACGGCGCTCGCAACTGCATAAGGTCATATGAGCGCCAGAAGATTAGAGGTGTTACAAGAGAGTAACAAACATAAAAGAGAAGTAGGGGAGATAAGGACGATAGAAGTTTGATAGGAAAGAAGAAGCAGACCACACCAGAGCACCCATCAACCACCCGCTCAGTAGAGTTTCACACCACTTGCAACACAATAAATAAAGGTCATATTAGTGCCGAAGATAAGAGGTATTACAAGAGTAGAGTAAAGTTGTTCCTGCATCCAATCTGGGCATTGGGGACTGCCTTGTTAAAGAGACAACTTCCTGGGCCTTCGGCATATTGTGGTAGGGTGGCCAGTTCCTTTCCACATCGCCTTTACTTCCCCAACTTGAAGTCAGGTACCCATTACTGCTGGGTGGGCAAGAGGGTGTGAAAAAAAATCCATGTCCGAACCCAGGCTCGAACTCGGACTTTCTTCTTCGGAGACGAGCACACTAACCACTCCGCCACCGCACCCTCATTACAAGAGTAACAAACACAAAAAAAGAAGAGATAAGGATGATAGATGTTTGATAGGGAAGAAGTAAACCACATAGGAGCACCCGCCAGCCAACAACCAGCAAAAATTTTACCGCACTTGAGACACGCATATGTCATCATATAAGTGATGAAGAATAAAGGTGATACTAGAGAGTAACAAACATTTAAAAAGAAAGGAGAGAGATGAGGACAACAGATGTTTGATAGGAAAGAAGCAGAGCACCTGCCAACCACCCACAACGCTTTGTCTGAGTAAGGGGAGAATATTGAAACAGCAATCACTTAGTTCTAGGAAAATCGAAGCCTGACAAACAGAGGCAAGTGCACAAGAAAAAGTCAACCTCTAACCACCCGCCCACAAAAAAGCAAAACCTGTTAAAAAAAAACAGGGAATGATAAAACTTTTATCCGCAATAAAATGCCACCACAATCCTGTCATTTTGGTTAGCTGGGTTGAGTTTTTTGCTCAGACCACAAACAAATCTCAAAAGAATGTAGACATAGGTCTAAAGACTTAATGAAGAAAGTGGGGGGGACCCCTGTGCTTAGTTTAGTAAAGAGTTTTACGGCACTTGCAGCACAATAAGGTCATATAAGTGCCGAAGATTAGAGGTGTTACAAGAGAGTAACAACACACATAAAAAAGGAGGAAAGATAAGGACGATAGATGTTTAAGAGGAAAGAAGGAGCAAACCACACCAGAGCACCCGCCAACCACCAACAGACATGCACTCTCACAAACACATAAAACACATACTCTCAAAAAAATATATTTATAAACACACACCCAGACACGCATAATATATTTCTAAAGTAAAAAAAATGACCGACAATAAACGCCAGGCAAACCAGGCCACAGAAGACAAGAAGGTCACCGGAAGAGGTGCCAATTCACAAATCAGTTTGAGTGCTCTTGGCTCCACTCTCAGATACAACTAGACTGATATCACTGTGCGTTTGTAACGTTACAGAGATACCACAGGGAGTAGGGAGTACAATTCTACCAGCCCTCTGCTGATAAAAATGACAAGCTTCCCTGGCCCTCGATGACTCATTCAGCTTCAACAACAACATATACACCCTGCTGAACTGTACTTCCACCCCACATAAAAACAGACCATCTAAAGAGGAAGTAATGACATGGAAGTGGGAAATGGGAGCCAGCTTTAAAACAAAAGAGACAGTCTTGTACTGATTTAGAAACCTTTTCTCCAAAAAAAATTTTTTTTAATTTTAAAAGAAAATTTAAAAAAGAAAAAAAATTTTTATGGTGAACCATGGTCTCATATTTCCATAGACTGTTTCAACAAGTTACAGCCATTAATAAACTTGGAACAGTAGAGCAGTCAGCAAGTAGTACGCTCCAACAGCCTCCAACCACCCTTGCTCTGAGACAACCCAGATGATGACAAATATATGGAAATGAGGAAGCAAACAATCCTCAATAGACCCTGGGCCAGCCATAAACGACAGTCTACAGTCGAACCTGCTCTAACAAACTCCTGCCAAATCAATCATCTGTACAAACAACCACCTCCCACTTCCACCCATGTTTTTTTCTTGTACAATAATTAAGAGGAACTGTAAAAGACAACTATCTAACCAAATGTGAACATTTTTCCTTTTCTCCTTTTACAATGAGCGGTCCTCTCGGACCGGTCCACCTATACCTATCTCTTCCCAAAAGAACTGCAGCTTACATTTTTCAATCCTCTCTAGGAACTCTGAAATCAATATTGTACCTCTCACTCTCATTTTGTGATTTTCCATATTCGCCTCTCTCCGTACGCCTCGCTAAAAAGCTTATTTTAGAGAAAAATGAAATAATAGGGTTAGTGTAGGCTCAGAAAAGAAAGTTAGAATCATGAACAATGCACGAACATTGCGCTGTCATTGCCATGGAAGTATAAGAATACATCATTGCCAACACCAAATCATAAAAGCTAGAAAATTAATGGAAAAAAATAAGATTCTTAAAAATAAGGATTGTTACACAGGAAATACGCAAGTGTAGCAAAAATCATAAAGGCCAGAAAAAAAAAATTTTAATAAAAATTTAAAAATAAGGATTATTATTAGCAAATTTTTTAAAATACAATAGAGCTTCGCAAAAATTATAAAAGCCTGATTTAAAATTAAGGATATTATAACCTGGGCAAATTTGACACAGAGAGAAGCAAGCATGAATAGTAAATGTTATTTCTGACACCCTTAAGCTCTTTGAATAAAGGGCTGTCATGTTCAGATGACATGTTAAAAACTGAGGCAGTAAAAAACAATTCAACATGAAAATTTGGCCATAGTTCTGGAGCCAGCTGCTGGGTTGGGGTTGGGTTTTTTTCCCCTTTTTTTCTGACTAATTCAAAAAACCCAAGGCCCCCACCCTTACCCCTTCGTCTCTGATAGACATCTTTTAGTTTCTGATTTTTCCAATGATGAAAACGACCCTGTAAATTTTAATGAACTGTTTTCTTTCAAATTGCAGATGTTAGGGTTAAAAGCTGTTTGTTAAGATATATAAGGACATTTAACAAAAAATGACAGGCTGAAGGAAGATTGCCATAAAGACATAAAGACAGAAGTATTAAAACATCTTGAAAGCAAAATATATTGATTTTTTTTTTTCAGAAAGTACAGCATGAAATATGTATAATTTAGTTTCAGGTGTTAGAAATAGAGAAATTCTAAGCCAGAGATTATATCATAACAGCATTAAGCTTACCAGCTTTAACTTGTGATGGTAGTCTCAGCAAATTAAAAAAGCAGAATCATGCCCATACAAGTGAGTCATTGCCATGGAAGTATGAATAACATCACTGCCAAACCACCAAGAGAGCAACAAAAAAGGTAAAAAAAAGAAAAAGCTTAAAATAAAACATTTGAAAAAATATAAGTTAAATGAAAGGGTTTAAGTATCTTATTAGTTTGCCATAGGAAAATGGTGACCTTAATGCACAATAAATTCAGTAAGAAAAGTGAAGAATTTTTTTTTCAAAAACCTATCTATTTTAATAACTATGTATTGACTTAAGTGACGAGTTGTTTTTTTATAAATTAGAATTTAAATTTCGGAATCGCTTTTTTTTAAATGCTGAAGCTGACAAAAAAAACAAACAACACAACTATTTCTCGAAACTGTAGTGAAGGGAAAAAAGGTGTTTTGTCCGCTTATTTATGGCAGAATAACAGCCCCCCTCCCCCCCCCCCTCTCTCTCTTCCAAAAATCATACTTTTCCCCAAAATATTTGTAAAACCAATCACAACAGGAGCCAAGAGCAACTTTTTTTTTTTTCATGAGTTGGCACAATAACAGCAGCCACACCAGGCCATCATAAACTGAACAGGACAAAAGCTACACTGAGAAAAAAAGCAAAAACAGCAAACTAGACCCCACATGTTTGTCTGTTCAAGTAAAGAGAAGCACACCGACACAATAACGGTCATTTAGTGCTGGGGAAAAAAGGTAAGACAGACAGACAGACAGAAAGCAACACAGACCCACCAGAAGCACCCTCATACCCACCCATGCCCCACAAGTCTGTGACATACACAACCAAAAAACATGACAACAAACAGTAACCACAACAGGCTAGCCAGACCCAACAACAACAAAAAAGAACAAAAAAAACATCCCAAGGAACAAACAAAACATTCTTTAACTCACAAAGTAGAAACAAAAAACCAAAAAAACTCCCTCTCACTCACACTAAAAACCACCCATTATTCTCATCAATCAATCAATCTCTCTCTCTCTCTCTCTCTCTCTGTTCATCTCTCTTTCTCTCACACACTCAAGTCAAACCACCACCACCCACCCACCCCTACACCCTCGTGAATCCAGAAACACCTGCCAACAACTTAAAACTCTACTCAAAATAGAATGACCCCCAAAAAACCCCGACTAAAACACACACAAAAAAGAAGAAAAAACTTCAATCAATGTTTTTGTTTAGAGAGTGGAGAAATTGCCCTTTAAGAGTAGCATCGTGCCATAAAACGGCAAGATCATGACTGGATTAATTATTGATTTCTGCACCACTGCTTCACACGGCACTCTCGGTACATGGCTCACGAGGCAGCGAGGTGGGGTGGTGGAAGGGGGG